CATCACATAATACTTCTCAATGTTATACGCTAAGATTAGAAAAACACAAAGAAATTAGGAAAAAAAATCAACTATTAATCTAACCCCTCAGATGCTCTACGTTCAACCGCCCCTTTTTTTTTATTTTCAGCCTGAATCAAGTGTCAGTCTGAGGTCGTAAAAACACAGGATAAAATACAGTCTTGAATGCTCGTCTCCTGCTCCTCCTCCTTCTGCTGCTGCTCTGCCTGCTGCTGCTCCTCCTGCCAGCGCCACAACACAACACACCTCACATACGAACCTGCTGTAATAAAACTCAAAACAAGACGCTCATTAAGCAAACAGGTAAGAGTGTTCTCCTACCTGGGCTTGTTATTGAATTCCGCCAGGTGATTATATGTACTCTATCGCCTTTTTTTACCTCTGGTTTTAATAAAGCACGTACTGGCCACCTGGAGGAGGAAGACGAGGAGGAGGGAGAGACGGGTAGGGGGGAGGGGAGGAGTCTAGCTCGTCATTACAGGTAATCGACGGTAAGTTGGAGGTAAGACAACGCCCAGAGGTATCGTTTGCACTCGTGGAATAAGATAGTGGATGAGAAGTCTTATTTACACCCGTAGGAGAGGCACGAAAGGGGTCATATGTATAACTTTAGGCGCCAAAACCCCAGGATTCATTATCCGTTCTCGTAAGTTAAGTCATGAATAGCTGTATTTTTTTTTTATTTAACTTGACAATAAACCTCGAAGGAACTAAAGGTTAATAGCGATATTATTATAAATTAAACACAAAAAATTACTGTAGAAATGTTTTAGGCCTGTCAGGTAACTACACGTCACATGTTGTCGTAACTTATCTAATAAATGACCAATAACACGAAGGCCTTACATGAAGCAACAGGAAGTTACACAAAAACACAAGAGATAAATAAGTACGCAATTCGCTATAAGTGTACGCTATATGTGTTGTTATGTAAGTGCTGTACGTGTAATGCAAGTGAATAAAGCCCCCCGCCACCCCGTCCTCCCAAAAATCTAATTGTATATTTTCAATTTTTGGACGATTGGAATTTATATCAAACAAGTCGACAAGTGTTTAGAACATTATTATTTTTTTTTTTTACGGATGATGAGTTTTGAAGTATATAATTTACTAAGAATATTTATAAACCTTAGTATACAGGAATTATTGGAACCTTTGTTACTTCTAGGACAAGTGGTTTGGTTCCTTGAATCCTGCTGAAAACGTGATGTAGATATAGACTGAAGATAATGCTATAATATCCTGATACTTACAGTTCCATACATCTAAAATTGTCACTAAATTTGCCTTATCCTAAACTTTATCCTAAACTTTATCCTAAACTTTATCCTAAACTTTACTCTCAATTTCTTTTAAAATTTAGACAAATGGGTTCCTTGACTCTTATTGTTTATCTCACACTTGCCTCGCTTCTTGCTTCAATAACAACCAACATCTCAGACGAACATCCTCGTCGACGCACCACCAGGAATGTTGCTCACTGGATAACCATAACAACTCGTGCAAGTTTTTCCCCAATCACAGGATCCTGTGAGCACTACCCGGGACAAAAAGGAGAACCGACCCGACCCCCCAAAAACCCGCCACAGGATATGCGGTTATTTGTACAGCTCGTCACGTAGGTCTTCCCATAACGCCGTAATGACATGTGAGCCGCGCTGACCACAGGAAGCGTCTCAGCAGGTCAGGTCGCGGTGGGAGGGTTGAGGGCAGGCTAAATACTTCTTCGTGAGGCTGAGTCCTCCACACCGGGGTGGTCATGGAGACCTTCGGACAGGTGAGGGAGGTGAGAAACCTATTATCTATTAAGTGAGGGAAGGTAGAGATGGTAGCTTTGGGTGTGAGAGAAGAAAGAGATATCTCATTTACCTGGAAGAGAGATAAAGCTTCCCTAACAGGGTAGTGAGGGAGGAAGGCTGCCTGCGTGTTCAATGAAGAACACGAGGAAAGTCTTCGTTCGTTGTAAGTGTACGTTGTAAGTGCTGTTATGTAAGAACGTGTAATGCAGCCTACTTGTTAGAGAGGTGAAGAACTCCAGTGTTTGGTTCAAGAGAGGCAGGAACCTCCCTGTTATGTAAGGCAGCCTCTTGCTGGAGGCTGTAGGTCCTCCATGTTAGGCAGGCAATCCTCACTCTTTGGCCACGAGTAACAAACACTGCTGCTCACACTCCTTCACCGCCTACACTATTCCCACACGAAAACAATCAAATAAAGTTAGGACTGTAGGCGTGGCCGTAAGAGAGGTGTAGGACTCCTGCGGAGGTCCTGCACCCAGAAGGGCACAGGAAGTAGGGGTGGGGCGGCTGACCTTACCTCTGGCAGAATGACCCTTCTCACACACGGCCCTCAGCCTCCTTCACACCTCCACCTGTGTTTGGCAGGGTAGTGGTGGGTGTCTCAGCCTCCCTCACACCTCCACCTGTGTTTGGCAGGGTAGTGGGTGGGTGTCTCAGCCTCCCTCACACCTCCACCTGTGTTTGGCAGGGGTGGTGGGTGGGTGCCTCAGCCTCCCTCACACCTCCACCTGTGTTTGGCAGGGTAGTGGGTGGGTGTCTCAGCCTCCTTCACCTCCACCTGTGTTTGGCAGGGTAGTGGGTGGGTGTCTCAGCCTCCCTCACCTCCACCTGTGTTTGGCAGGGATAGTGGGTGGGTGCCTCAGCCTCCCTCACCTCCACCTGTGTTTGCAGGGGTAGTGGTGGGTGCCTCAGCCTCCCTCACACCTCCACCTGTGTTTGGCAGGGTAGTGGGTGGGTGCCTCAGCCCCTCCTCACACCTCCACCTGTGTTTGGGGTAGTGGGTGGGTGCTCCCCTCCACCTCCACCTGTGTTTGGGGTGGTGGTGCCTCAGCCTCCTTCACACCTCCACCTGTGTTTGGCAGGGAGTGTGGGTGCCCCAGCCCCTCACACCTCCACCTGTGTTTGGCAGGGTAGGGTGGGTGCCTCAGCCTCCCTCACACCTCCACCTGTGTTTGGCAGGGCAGTGGTGGGTGCCTCAGCCTCCCACACCCACCTGTGTTTGGCAGGGTAGTGGGTGGGTGTCTCAGCCTCCCTCACACCTCACCTGTGTTTGGCAGGGAGTGGTGGGGTGCCTCACTCCCCTCACACCTCCACCTGTGTTTGGCAGGGTAGTGGGTGGGTGCCTCAGCCCCCCACACCTCCACCTGTGTTTGGCAGGGTAGTGGGGGGGTGCCTCAGCCTCCCTCACACCTCCACCTGTGTTTGGCAGGGTAGTGGGGTGGTGCCTCAGCCTCCCTCACACCTCCACCTGTGTTTGGCAGGGTAGTGGGTGGGTGCCTCAGCCTCCCTCACACCTCCACCTGTGTTTGGCAGGGTAGTGGGTGGGTGGCTCAGCCTCCTCACACCTCCACCTGTGTTTGGCAGGGTAGTGGTGGGTGCCTCAGCCTCCCTCACACCTCCACCTGTGCTTGCAGGGAGTGGGTGGGTGTCTCTCAGCCTCCCTCACACCTCCACCTGTGTTTGGCAGGGTAGTGGTGGGTGCCTCACCCCCTCACACCCCTCCACCTGTGTTTGGCAGGGAGGGTGGGTGCCTCAGCCTCCCTCACACCTCCACCTGTGTTTGGCAGGGTAGTGGTGGGTGCCTCAGCCTCCCTCACACCTCCACCTGTGTTTGGCAGGGTAGTGGGTGGGGCCTCAGCCTCCCTCACACCTCCACCTGTGCTTGGCAGGGTAGGGTGGGTCAGCCTCCTCACACCTCCACCTGTGTTTGGCGGGGTAGTGGTGTCTCAGCCTCCCTCACACCTCCACCTGTGCTTGGCAGGGTAGTGGTGGGTGCCTCAGCCTCACACCTCCACCAGTGTTTGCAGGGTAGTGGTGGGGGCCTCAGCCTCCTCACACCTCCACCTGTGTTTGGCAGGGGTAGTGGGTGGGTGCCTCAGCCTCCCTCACACCCTCCACCTGTGTTTGGCAGGGTAGTGGGGTGGGTCACCTCACACCTCCACCTGTGTTTGGCAGGTAGTGGGTGGGTGCCTCAGCCTCCCTCACACCTCCACCTGTGTTCTGGGTGGGGGTAGTGGGGTGGTGCCCCAGCCTCCTCACACCTCCACCTGTTTGCAGGGCAGTGGTGGGGTGCCTCAGCCTCCCTCACACCTCCACCTGTGTTTGCAGGGTAGTGGTGGTGTCTCAGCCTCCCCGCCCCTCCTCCTCCTGTGTTTGGCAGGGAGTGGTGGTCTCAGCCTCCTCACACCTCCACCTGTGGGCAGGGTAGTGGTGGGTGCCTCAGCCTCCCCACACCTCCACCTGGTTTGGCAGGCAGTGGTGGTGCCTCAGCCTCCCCCACACCTCCACCTGTGTTTGGCAAGGTAGTGGGTGGGTGTCTCAGCCCTCACACCTCCACCTGTGTTTGGCAGGGAAGGGGTGGGTGCCCCAGCCTCACACCTCCACCTGTGTTTGGCAGGGTAGTGGGTGGGTGCCCAGCCTCCTCACACCTCCACCTGTGTTTGGCAGGGTAGTGGTAACCTCAGCCTCCCTCACACCTCCACCTGTGTTTGGCAGGGTAGTGGGTGGTGTCTCAGCCTCCCTCACACCCACCTGTGTTTGCAGGGTAGTGGGTGGGTGCCTCAGCCTCCTCACACTCCACCTGTGTTTGGCAGGGTAGTGGGTGGTGGCTGAGCCTCCCTCACACCTCCACCTGTGTTTGGCAGGGTAGTGGGTGGGTGCCTCAGCCTCCCTCACACCTCCACCTGTGTTTGGCAGGGTAGTGGGTGGGTCAGCCTCCTCACACCTCCACCTGTGTTTGGCAGGGTAGTGGGTGGGTGCCTCAGCCTCCCTCACACCTCCACCTGTGTTTGGCAGGGTAGTGGTGGGTGCCTCAGCCTCCTCACACCTCCACCTGTGTTTGGCAGGTAGGTGGGTGCCTCAGCCTCCCTCACACCTCCACCTGTGTTTGGCAGGGTAGTGGTGGATGTCTCAGCCTCCCTCGCCCTCCTCCTGTGTTTGGCAGGGTAGTGGTGGGTGTCTCAGCCTCCCTCACACCTCCACCTGTGTTGGCAGGGTAGTGGTGGGTGCCTCAGCCTCCCTCACACCTCCTCCACCTGTGTTTGGCAGGGTGGTGGGTGCCTCAGCCTCCTCACACCTCCACCTGTGTTTGGCAAGGTAGTGGGTGGTGTCCAGCCTCCCTCACACCTCCACCCTGTGTTTGGCAGGAAGTGGGTGGGTGCCTCAGCCTCCTCACACCTCCACCTGTGTTTGGCAGGGTAGTGGGTGGGTGCCTCAGCCTCCCCACACCTCCACCTGTGTTTGGCAGGGTAGTGGTGGGAACCTCAGCCTCCCCACACCTCCACCTGTGTTTGGCAGGGTAGTGGGTGGGTGTCTCAGCCTCACACCTCCACCTGTGTTTGGCAGGGGTAGTGGGTGGGTGCCTCAGCCTCCTCACACCTCCACCTGTGTTTGGCAGGGTAGTGGGGTGGGTGGCTGCCTCCCTCACACCTCCACCTGTGTTTGGCAGGGTAGTGGGTGGGTGCCTCAGCCTCCCTCACACCTCCACCTGTGTTTGGCAGGGTAGTGGGTGGGTCAGCCTCCCTCACACCTCCACCTGTGTTTGGCAGGGTAGGGAGGCCCCAGCCTCCCTCACACCTCCACCTGTGTTTGGCAGGGTAGGGTGGGTGCCTCAGCCTCCCTCACACCTCCACCTGTGTTTGGCAGGGTAGTGGGTGGGGTGCCTCAGCCTCCCTCACACCTCCACCTGTGTTTGGCAGGGTAGTGGGTGGGTGCCTCAGCCTCCTCACACCTCCACCTGTGTTTGGCAGGGTAGTGGGTGGGTCAGCCTCCCTCACACCTCCACCTGTGTTTGGCTGGGTAGTGGGTGGTGCTCAGCCTCCTCACACCTCCACCTGTGTTGGCAGGGTAGTGGTGGTGCCTCAGCCTCCCTCACACCTCCACCTGTGTTTGGCAGGGTAGTGGGTGGGTGCCTCAGCCTCCCTCACACCCTCCACCTGTGTTTGGCAGGGTAGTGGGTGGGTGCCTCAGCCTCCCCACACCTCCACCTGTGTTTGGCAGGGTAGTGGGTGGGTGTCTCAGCCTCCCCACACCTCCACCTGTGTTTGGCAGGGTAGTGGTGGGGTGTCTCAGCCTCCCTCACACCTCCACCTGTGTTTGGCAGGGTAGTGGGTGGGTGCCCCAGCTGACTCCCTGAATGAAGGATGACCTCGATGGGTGAGTGGAAGATAGATGAAGCCTCTCGGTTACCTGTACTACAATTACCTACGGGCCTGGAGGTTGATTATTTAAATATCTGTTAGTTGAGAAGTTGAGAGGTTTATCTCCCCTTTTTCTCTTCTCTCTCTCTCTCTCTCTCTCCCAGTAACACAATAGACCAATATTTTCTTTGTATGTTTAAGGTGTGGTGGTAGTTTTTGCCTCTAACAACACCCATACAAAAGAACTCTTAATGATAGCTCTACTAAACAATGGTTATAGAGGAACATTTGGCCAACGTATGATATCAAAAAGGATAATTCTTGTTCTTATATGACAAAAAATAATATGATATGACACTATTTATGCAGATTTTGTTGCTAGGACTTGACCTGTATAGGGAAGTTTTTGACATGTTTAGGGGAAAAAAACAGGTAAATAGATAATCCCTGGCATGATACGACACACCGTGACCGACCCGGGGTGCAGAGAGATCCGAATCGAGTTACCTTTTTACGTATGGTCGAAATCCCAAGTTTTTTGTCGTGAGGATGATCCCTGGCGGTGTGTGTGTGTGTGTGTGTGTGTGTGTGTGTCTCCCCAGGGGCTGATCTTTCCGCCCGGGGGTGCCACAGGGCTCCTGGAGTGGTCATTACTGGCCCTCAGGTGCCAGCCACGGAGGGTCATTATGCTCGCCTCATTTCCATAAAACGTGTTGCTGGACTCCATGAGAACGGCCTGGAAACCTGCACCTGTGAGTCGCCTGAGAGAGAGAGAGAGAGAGAGAGAGAGAGAGAGAGAGCAGTGTAATGATGCTTTTGTTGTTGTTTCTATATAAAGTGAGGCAGACTTACTTCATCTAGGCTCATAGGAAGAACTTATAGCATCCATCTACTGGAGGGACAAACAAGTACCAAATTAATCACAAACACCTGAATTAATTTGTTTACGGAATGGGAATTAATAGATAAAAACAATTAGATAAACCTGATTTTTCCTCTTTTTTTTTCATTATTTCTACATTTATTCATATAATCTACTTCCTCTTCTTTTTCTAACTTGTTTGGCCTCTGAACATGTTAGATAATCACCCCTTGTTCACACTCATCTGAACAATGAATCACTCGGTTGAACATTAAACTAACACCTTAAGTATGATGAACATTAATGAACAAACAACATAATGATAAAAATAATGACTTGAACACCTGTCTACTAACAACAGGTGAACTAATTAAGACGACACAAAGGTAATTAAATGCCGTATGAAATTGACTGAAAAATCCACATTGTGTTGATTTGATGGTTGAGTGGATGAGTTGATGGTTGACTGGATGAGTTGATGGTTGACTGGATGAGTTGATGGTTGACTGGATGAGTTGATGGTTGACTGGATGAGTTGATGGTTGACTGGATGAGTTGATGGTTGAGTGGATGAGTTGATGGTTGACTGGATGAGTTGATGGTTGAGTGGATGAGTTGATGGTTGAGTGATGATTTGATGGTTGACTGGATGAGTTGATGGTTGAGTGGATGATTTGATGGTTGAGTGGATGATTTGATGGTTGACTGGATGAGTTGATGGTTGAGTGAATGATTTGATGGTTGACTGGATGAGTTGATGGTTGAGTGGATGAGTTGATGGTTGACTGGATGAGTTGATGGTTGAGTGGATGAGTTGATGGTTGACTGGATGAGTTGATGGTTGACTGGATGAGTTGATGGTTGACTGGATGAGTTGATGGTTGACTGGATGAGTTGATGGTTGACTGGAGTTGATGGTTGACTGGATGAGTTGACGGTTGACTGGATGAGTTGATGGTTGACTGGATGAGTTGATGGTTGACTGGATGAGTTGATGGTTGACTGGATGAGTTGATGGTTGACTGGATGAGTTGATGGTTGACTGGATGAGTTGATGGTTGACTGATGAGTTGACGGTTGACTGGATGAGTTGATGGTTGACTGGATGAGTTGATGGTTGACTGGATGAGTTGATGGTTGACTGGATGAGTTGATGGTTGACTGATGAGTTGATGGATGACTGGATGAGTTGATGGTTGACTGGATGAGTTGATGGTTGACTGGATGAGTTGATGGTTGGTGGATGAGTTGATGGATGAGTTGATGGTTGACTGGATGAGTTGATGGTTGGAGTGGAGTTGATGGTTGACTTGGATGAGTTGATGGTTGACTGGATGAGTTGATGGTTGACTGGATGAGTTGATGGATGAATGGAAGAGTTGATGGATGAGTTGATGGATGAGTGGATGAGCTGATGGATGATTGGATAAGTTGATGGTTGAGTGGAAGAGTTGATGGTTGAGTGGATGAATTGATGGATGAATGGAGTGTTAAATTACTGAATGAGCGGAACATGAGTAGAAGAATAGATGGATGAGTGGATGAGTTGATGGATGAGTGGAGTGTTTCTATCGCCGTTGCGTGCGTCGATAAGTATCGGGTTCGAATCCCTTGAGACTCTCTGATTAGGATCTTGTGAGGTGAAACCGTCTCGTTCACTCATTCGTACTCAGGGGCTCGTACTCCAGGGCTAGTACTCCAGGGCTCGTACCCAGGCTAGTACCCAGGCTACTCCAGGGCTTGTAGGGTTGACTGGCTGTACCCGGCTCGTACTCCAGGGCCTGTACCCAAGTCTCGTACTCCTGCCTGTACCCGGGCTGTACCCAGGGCTCGTACTCCAAGTCTCGTACCCAAGGCTCGTACTCCGGGCTAGCTGTACCCAGGGCTTGTACTCCATGGCTCGTACTCCGGGGCTCGTACTCCAAGGTCGTTGTTGTTGTTGCTCATATTTTTGTATCTGTGACCTGTAACCTGTGACATTTGACCTGCAACCTGTGATATTTGACCTACAACCTGTGACATTTGACCTTTGACCTGTGATATTTGACATTTGACCTATGACCTTTAACGTTTTACCTGTGACCTTTGACTGCACCCTGTGACCTTTGACCTGCGACCTGTGACCTTTAACCTGTGACCTTTGACTGCACCCTGTGACCTTTGACCAGCAGCATGTGACCCTTGACCTGTGACCTTCGTCCTGCAACCTGTGACCTTTGACCAGCAACCTGTGACCTGTAACCTGTGACCTGCTGATTCTAGACAGGTATTCAGGGGACAGACAAGTGACTACTGTATATGTTACGTTCACAGACAAACAGATAGACAGACAGACAGACAGGTAGACAGACAGACAGACAGGTAGACAGACAGACAGATAGACAAACAGGTAGACAGACAGACAGATAGACAGACAGATACACAAACTGACAGAAAGATAAAGACAAACAAACAGACAAGCAGACAGACAAGCGAACAGACAGACAGACAGATAGACAGACAAATAGACAGACAAACAAACATACAGACAGACAAACAAGCAAACAGACAGACAGATAGGCAGACAAACAGACAGAGAGATAGACAAACAAAGAGACAAACAGACAGACAGACAGGCAAACAGACAGACAGACAGACAGATAAACAGATAGATTGACGTATAGATAGAGTGTAATATATCTTCTTTTTTGCCGTTGCGGGGAATAATATGGTAGCCAGAATGAGGAAATACCTGTGTGTGTGTGTGTGTGTGTGTGTGTGTGTGTGTGTGTGTGTGTGTGTGTGTGTGTTCTTCCTCCTCCCTCCACCTCCTTCTCTGCATTCTCCTCCTCCTCCTCCACCACCTCTTCCTCATCTTCCTCTTCCTCCTCTTCTTCTTCCCTCCTCCTTCTCATCATCATCATCATCTTTTCTCTCCCTTACTCTTTCCTCCTTCTTTATCACGTTCTCTCCCTCTTACCCAT